CCCCCCCCCCCCCCAATTAGGGCTCAATTCCTTTTTTGGAACCCTAAAACAAAGTTCATCATTTTCTCAACATTGTCACTTTTGACTACACGTTCAAGACTCAACTTTTTTTTTGACACTTGAGGAGTATATTTACATTACTATGTTAAGAGCATTTATCTGATACCATGTTTGAGGCCTCAACTCCGCACAATGGTATGATATTGTCTACTTTGAGAATAAAAATTCTCATGGTTTTGCTTTTGGTTTCCCCAAAAAGCCTTGTATCATTGGAGATGTATTATTTACTTATAAATGTGACTCCCTTCCAACAATCCTCCCCTCGAATAAAGTATAGTATAGGGCCTCTGCTGAGACCTATAGAGCCCTTGAAGAGCCTCCCCTTAATTGAGACTCTTCTCTTTTCTCTAGAGCCCTTGACACTTGAGTCTTTTTTTTTTCTACACCTTCAAGGCTCACAAATTCTTTGTTCGATATTTGAGGATTTATTGACATGGCTAAGTTAAAGGACATGACTTTGATACCATATTTAGAACCATGAACTTGCACAATGGCATTGGTGGTGTTTATATGTAGAATTTGCCGATTCAAAACGAGCTTGATCGTGCATGTGCATATATAGAAGCAGAAACAACATTTGTCAAATTATCATTCATTATAGGGCTTAAACAGCCATCTTGGCTTCACATATTTTATTGGCGACGATGAAACAAAATAGAGAAAAAGAAAAGGCATGGGGATAGCATCTTAGAGCCAAGCAGGGTTGTTCAAAGGAGTGACAACAGCCTTCACTTGCAGATAATTGCTGAGGCTGTAAATACCCTTTTCTCGTCCATGTCCGCTCATCTTGTACCCACCAAAAGGAATCGCAGCATCAAATATATCGAAGCAATTGATCCACACAGACCCAACTCTCAGCGCACGGGTCAGCCTGTTGGCTGTGTCGATATTTTGAGTAAACACCCCAGCCGCCAGCCCATAGCGACTAGCATTTGCCCTCCTTATCACCTCCTCAACCTCTCTGCAATTACCAAAATAAATAAATAAATATATAAATCCATCGCGTTTCTCATACTAGTTTTCTTCTAACTTACTTGTATTTCAAGATTGTCTGTACAGGACCAAAAATCTCCTCCTGTGCAATTGTCATGTCATCCTAATACAGAGAGAGAATAATGATGTAAGGCACACTAATCTCCATTTCCATGTAAAAATGGCCGTCACAAAACTAAATAAAAGGTAGACCTTGACGTTCGAGAAAACTGTTGGCTGGACATAGTAACCCTTGGAACCAAACCTCTCTCCTCCAGCTTCGAGAGTGGCTCCACCTTCAATCCCAGATTTTATATATCTCAAAATCTTTTTGAATTGTTCGCCGTCCACCTGTGCATGATTTCAGCATGAAAAAAGGCATCCCAAAACATGCTGCTTCACTTGGACTTCAAAAGGAAATACTAGTAATTCTAGTTCAGCTCACTCACCTGAGGACCTTGCTCAATTCCACCTAGGAATGGATCACCAACAACGCGGTTTGCAGCTCGTTTCCTTGATTTTTCTAGAAACTCATCATACACTTTTTCATGAACAAAAGTACGGGAACCAGCACAGCAGCATTGTCCCTGTAAGAGAACATGTGTTTTACTTTTTAATGAAAGATAATCATAACATGTTTTTCTTCATGCTCAATTTTGTTTGACGTACCTGGTTGAAGAAGAGAGCAAAGTGTGCCATCTCGACAGCCTTATCCACATCAGCATCCTCACATACAATGAAAGGGGATTTTCCACCAAGCTCCAAAGTTACTGGCTTCAGATTGCTTTTTGCAGCTAGTTCAAGTACAATCTGCCCTGTTTCGGTTGATCCAGTAAAAGCAAGCTGGGAAAACAAAAGGATCATAGTGACGTGTTTATGGTTCTTCTTTGCATCAAATTTCTTAATTTTCACTTTTCAAGAAAGAACCCATTTACACAAGTAACTTGCACATCTTGTTGTTTTATAAGGTTTTACCCTGCAAAAGACAGGAGCAATGCCAAAAATTTGGACGCCAAAGTAATGCAAGAGTTGCGAAATAATGTGATAAAGTTAAAAGCAGTTATACATGGGTGAAAGAACAGAGTACCTTGTCAACTTCCATATGACTGGCAAGAGCAGCACCAGCAGTGGGTCCATAACCGGAAACAATATTGAGAACGCCCGCAGGAAGTCCAGCCTGCCATAAAAAGATATAACTGGAGTTTTATACAATGTAGTTTTAGGAATTGAATTACGAACTCAACTCAAATAGCCTAAGCCTGCGTGAAGAAAGAAAGAAGAGTTTTAATTGGCCAAGCACCTCATGCAATAGCTTAGCCACATAGATAGCAGACAAAGGTGTCTGCTCGGCTGTCTTCAGAACAATAGTATTCCCACATGCTAATGCTGGACCAACCTTCCAAGCAAACATGAGCAGAGGAAAGTTCCATGGAATAATCTGACCCGCAACACCAATTGGTTCGTGCAAGGTCTGCACATGATACGAGCCATCAGCTGGAACTGTGAGTCCGTGAATCTTATCGGCCCACCCTGAGGTAAGTGCAGTCAAATTAATTGACACATTGATTGTTTGGCTAGGTCGCACAGGGCTAAAAGCCTAGAAGGCCAAACCTCGACTAGACAGACGTACCCGCATAATATCGGAAGAGGCGTACAAACATTGGGACTTCCAATTTGGCTGACTGTTCGTATGTTTTCCCATTGTCCCAAGTTTCGAGTGCTGCAACTTCATCGGCATGCTTTTCAACCAAATCGGCAAATCGCAAAAGTATCTTTGACCTTTCCTGCCAATGAGTAAATCGATTATTGTTAGCCTACGGTTGAGTGGAGGAGGATCAGATATATGGGACAGATTAAATAAGGCAATATATGAACTCACATAAGCAGTCATTCTAGGCCAAGGCCCATCATCGAATGCCTTGCGTGCAGCAGAAACTGCAAGATCAATATCTCTGGCGTCACCTTCAGCAACATTCGCAATGACTTCTCCAGTCCTTGGGTCCAGTGTAGGAAAAGTTTTTCCTGAATTTACAGAAACAGCCCATAATTAAAATGGCTACCTTCTGAATCAGTGAGGGACACGTCAGTTACCTGAAACTGAATCCACAAACTGTCCGTTGATTAGCAGCTGGGTATAATTTACTTTCACAGATGGAGTAATTGGATCCTCAACAGCAGCGGAGGTGCTATATTTGCCAGTTGTTCTGCTACCGGAAGGCCTCCTCCCTGATCACGATAATTCCAATCCGCCATTAGCAGTTACCAATTCATAAAAGTAAAGAATTAAATGCCTGCTAGTTACTTAGAAACAGAAATCAGAATCTTCATCAAATTATGTCACCGAAATCCCGAAGGAAGTCACAAATAAAAAAGTTATGAAGGATCTGAATAAAGCTATAGTAAAATAATGATCCACAATAACAGGGGGACATAAAATTCCACACTCATTAAATCCCCACAAATAGAAAACTGGGTGATCCCTTCATACTCTTCACGGACTTGTCAAAGATGGAATTTTTCAACGAAAAGAGATAGAAACTCAGTACTGATAGGCCCTTCTTAATTGATCGGCCTCTCGGTTTGCGGATTGTAAAAACATAGATCAAAGGAAGGGCTCATCAAAATCTTAAATTTAGAATAGATAGAGAGAATAACAGACATCATGAGCGATGGAAAAACAAAAGGATGGCGTGTCTGCGTTTGTGTTACCTTTGGAAAGGAGAGCTGGTGAAGAAGCAAGGGAACGAGATAAGAGCGAGGATATCCTCCGAGCCGCCATGATTGCGAAGAAGCACAAAAAAAATCTGTCTATTTTAGACAGTGAGAACCTAATCCACTCAATGAGAAACTGGGGGAGTGGGTGTTGGAAGGATTGATTTTGCAGTGTTGTGATGGCTTGGATATAAGTAATTAAATATATATAAGCTCTGGGTGTTGGAAGGATTGATTTTGCACTGTGTTGTGTTGGCTTGGATTTAAGTAATTAAATATAGATAAGCTCTGGGTGTTGGAAGGATCGATTTTACACTGTGTTGTGTTGGCTTGGATATAAGTAATTAAATATAGATAAACTCTACGTATTGACTCCCAAGGGTATCCAATCAACAAACAGTTCAAACTGGCAAATATATCGCGATTTCCGAGAAAAAAGGAATCAAAGAACTGGCAAAATATCTTCAGGTCTGAAGTGTGTCCCCTTTCTCCCCTGAAGCTCACGCTTTCTGGGCGCATGTGGTTGGAGGAGAATCGAAAGGACAGCACAGCAGAGATGGGATGGCCACCAACGCAATCGACAATAGACAGTGGAATCAAACTTTAGAAACGCAAGGATGCGGATGGGGATGGGGATGGGGATGGGGATATGGGGATATGGGATGTGGGGCTACAAAACTTTTAAATAAATATTAGATATTAAATTAGAAAAATATGAGAATAGTGGGTGGCATGGTGGAAACTAAAACCAGGGGGACAAGCTCAAGCGGGGGAGAAGTATGATCTGAAAACGGATCTCAAATCTTTCTGAGGGTTGAGCCAGAAATGGAAACGTAAAATGGTCAAAAATTCATGGAGAAGAGGTGTGGAGATTAAAAAATGGTAGAACTGTCTTTAAAAAATACAGTCAATTGTAATTATTTGAATGGATTGAATTTATTTTTTTATTTAAATCTTGTCATCTTTTTTTTAAATATTTTAAAGAAATTTTAGGGTTGATATTTTTTAGAATGACATGATACAGTATCTGATTTGCTTTATAATCATTTCGAAAAGTTGACTTCATTCACGTGGTAACAATAACAGAGGGTGAGAAGGTATGCTCCAATACTATTCTGAATTTTTTTAAGAAAACAAGTATTCCAACTTTTTGCTAAAGTTGCATCTGTCCAATAAGCATAACTTAAAAAAAAAAAATAATAAATAAATAAATAAATAAATAAAGTAATTATTTAGATTACAAATTCCTTATACCGCTTTGTACCTAAAATAGTCATGTGATGTGAAAGGCATAGAAATTTTAACATTTTCCACACAAAAAGAAAAACTCCAACTTTAATATTTTTTATAAAAAATAAATGATAGATGTGTTTTTAAAAAAGAAAAAAACTTAATTAGAAGGGTACTTTTCAAGCTCTAAACACAATCTAACGTACATAACATCTTATTTTCTCAACTTTAATTTTAACATTTTCCACAAAAAAAAAAAAGAAAAAAACTTAATTAGAAGGGAACTTTTCAAACTCTAAACACAATCTAACATAGATAACGTCTTATTTTCTAAACTTTTTAAAGGTATGAATCCCATTTATTAATTCACCACAAGCCCAACCTAGAAAGCCCAAAGCCCACCCTTAACTCCCCTAGGTTTGAAAAATTGATAATCCTAACTTCTATCTTCTTCAAACGGCCCAAAACCTCTCCCCTCTCTCTCTCTCCTCCTCCTTTCTCTCCCTCTCCCCCTTTCTGTTCAACCCTTTCTACGCCGCCCCCCGTCACCCTCTTTCGACTATCTCCGCCGCCGCCCTTCCCTCTTTAAAACTCAATGTAACGGTATTTTTATAACTTCTTCAAATGTCAAAAGCATTAATACAACTTTTTTAAATTAAAGAGTATTATTGAAATGAGGTGGTATAATTTAGCAATTTGATCATGTATTATTTCCATGGCCCAAGAGGAGGTCGATGATAGGAAGAAGATTTACCATCTCTATCGTGTGATCAAAAGGAAATTGAAAGAGAGAGATTTGAAAAATTCCAATAAATTGGGAGGCAAACTCGAAACTCGAAAGAAAGAAAATAAAAGAAAAGAAGAGGAAAAACCCTCAAACTCGAAAGCACAATTGAGAACCCTATCATTTTATGTGTCCTCCCCCTGCTAACTGACACGCTTTACGAGAGTTCGGTGTCAGCAAAAAATGAAAGGCGGAAAGTGCTCCAATATAAAAGCTTAAAAGATGCGTCCTTTTTTAGCAGATTCGCTGCTTGTGAGCCTCTCAATCTTTTTCTCATAACAAAGCAGCCGACCCCACCCTCTTAGTTCCGGGGCGTCTTGCTCGTGCTCGAAGGGCTAACGACCAAGCGGCTCCGATAATTCTTCTGCCTTAGCCTCAGATTTATCTGTCAAGAGGTCGAGGGACGCAGACCAAAATGGAACTCCACCCTCTTCACAACCTGATTCTATTTCTTCCGTCATCCCCGGATGGTTCTCCGAGATCAGCCCAATGTGACCTGGTGGGTTCGCCACTACATCTCGCTCCTCTTAATATGTGTTTATTCCTAAGTAATCGTTCCAAAGTCATCGACAGTTTTGGAACTCATTCACTTGTGCCTTCTCTGCTTTCGGAGTCGTAGTGTTTTCGCTTTATCTGATTTTAAACTCTTCTCTGGTGTGGTTTACTTCTACGCGGGGATAGGAAGATGCAGTTTATTAGCTATTTAAATGCACGAGCATATATTTAATCGGTATTCTAAGCCCAATTTTATGTTTTCCGCTGGTTTCTGTCACTTGTTTCTCTGTTTAAAATTTGTGTTCTTCTATGGCGTCGTTTCATTTGGTTGCTAACAGTTGCTATTGTAGGCTCAGCTTAAATTATCGATATGTTTAGTCTTAAATAATAGGTTTATTTCCCCTTTGCTCTTTGCGAAGGTCCATTTTGCTTCGCACATTCTCTTCGCAAATGGTATCATTCTTGGTTGTTGGCAAGCTTGGATGGTGGGTTATGCCACTGTATTTGTATTGACTCCGTTTGATGTGAGTTTTCTTTTTGTGTTGGCTGCTGTATATCCTTTCATTTACTCTATTAGAGTATCTTTTTTAATAAGAAAAAAAATGATAAATTTTTGTTACGAAATAAACAGGATAAATATGCTGTGAACTTGTCCATGACGGTATCACTTTTTTTCTTGTCCGTACTTATAACTTGAAAATATTGTGCAGGAGAGGCACATTCATTGAAAGTAGAGAAGATTTTATTTCGAGGGAATTCTGACTATCAGGATGTTATGGTCTTTCAGGTGTGAATTACTTGAGCATTGTAATATTTCTTCTTTGGCTTGTTATTGATTCTGTCCCAACTGTTTGCTGACGGGGATGCTTTCTTTTTGTAGTCATCAACTTATGGGAAGGTTCTTGTTCTGGATGGAGTCATCCAGCTGACTGAGAGAGATGAATGTGCTTACCAAGAAATGATTGCTCACCTACCACTTTGCTCAATTTCTAATCCGACTAAGGTTTTTAATCTTCTATTAAATGAACAAAAATTTTCGATTGATTCTCTTCTATACACAATCTATTTTAGGCCATATGCATTCTTCAATAATTACTATTGATTATAATTGCATTATTCTGAAAAGGTTTTGGTTACTGGTGGAGGAGATGGTGGAGTGCTTCGTGAAGTTTCTCGCCATTCTTCTGTTAAGCAGATAGATATCTGTGAAATTGATAAGATGGTGGTTGATGGAAGTAATATCCTTGTTTCTCCTTAATATACTGCTACTCCCCCACCTCCCCCCGCATATAAGTTGGTATCTTACCAAAAACTAATTTGAGAATAGTAACGGTTATCTATGTAGTTTTTTCACTCCTTAATTTCGCATCTCAGTTGGCCTCTAAATGTGAGGGACAACTTACAATAATGGATGCTACGGTGACTGCTTTTGCAGGTTTCAAAACAATTTTTCCCTGATGTAGCTGTTGGGTTTGAGGATCCACGGGTCACACTTCATATTGGCGATGGTAGTCAGCTATGCTGCGTTTTTTTTCCCAGTTTTCACTTTTTCCATGGATTTCTGCTGGACTTTTCTTGCTTTTAAATGTTTGCAGGAGTTGCATTTTTAAAGGCTGTCCCCGAAGGGACTTATGATGCTATTATAGTGGATTCTTCTGATCCAATAGGTAAATTATCTGCCTGCGCAATCTCAAATTCTTCTATGATTCCTGTAGCTATCTTTTCAACTCTTAAATTTTTTTGATTGCATCTTCAGGTCCTGCGCAAGAGCTTTTTGAGAAGCCATTTTTTGAATCAGCTGCCAGAGCTGTTCGACCAGGAGGTGTTGTGTGCACTCAGGCAGAAAGTATATGGCTTCATATGCACATTATTGAGGGCATAGTCACAAACTGTCGCCAAGTATTCAAAGGCTCAGTAAATTATGCATGGACTACAGTTCCGACGTATCCCAGGCGAGCATTTTCAGATGATTATTAACATGTCTATTCTGCCTATAGATAGACGTGAACATATCTGGCTGCAACATTTAGAGAACCTGCCCCATTCACTTGACAATGCTGCGCAGCATTAGAATGGTGGTTTGGTTGAAATTGAAACCCCAGATTCAATCCGTGGTCGGGAGGAGTTGAGAACCTTTCATGTGATATATAACTGACATATATTAGTATTGGTAGTTGGAGTTTTTTTTCTTCTTACAACTAATTCCTTGAAATTTTGTGGCCCAGTGGAGTGATTGGTTTTATGCTGTGCTCTACCGAGGGACCTGTTGAAATATCATCACTAGCCCAATAGAGTCAAGCCCAATAATTGTACTAGCCCAATAGAGTCAAGCCTAATTGTACGAGCCCAGTATATTTATTTTAGTAGAGATTTTAGGAGAAAGAGATGTAGATATTTTAGGAGAAAGATTCAATTTGTTAGGTCTAGATTCAAATCGGTTAGGTCTAGATTTAGATTGGTTAAATATAGATTGTTTACTCTTAGTATAAATACCCCCACCCTACCTAGGTTATTCATCCAAGAAATCTAAAAACAATAAAAAGCAGAAGTATTCTACAGAGTGTCTTGTATTCTCTTCTCGATTGGTCTTAATAAAGAGAGCGAGTGTTTCCCACAGTGAGTTGTGTTC